TGAGTAAAGATATAATCTACCAGACCGTCCCACTCACATCAGTCGTAAAAACGATGACGGAGTTATTGTAGTGCCCAGAAGACTTGAGCGCCGCCACGACCCGCCCAACCGCCTCGTCCATGGCCGTCACCATACCTGTCGGAGGAGGTATTATGAAGAATCGTTAAGGTAAGATTCCCAAAGTCCCTATTCTTGACGTTTGTATTCATTTCAATAATGGTTTGTGCTAGCGTAGTTCGCGGCATTTGTTCGACTACACTGTTCTGCAGACGAGAGCAAGAACAAAAAGGCCAAAGAAATCAACAAATACGAAAATAGAGAAATTATCCAACAAAATAAAACTTAAACAAACGATTCAATAAACAGTAAAATAACTAAACAATCCAATACACAAAAAAATAAATGAATATTTCAATGAACAACAAGACAAATATAGAAGAAAACAAGATAAATCCAATTAACACAAAAACCGAGTGCAATTCATCAATTAAATTACCTTACATACACACACTTACCGAGCTTTGTTCTGCGATCCTTGTGCTTGATGTGCCTGTAAGGACGCGTGTAGTTCTCAGGGACCTCCAGGGGGGAGTGGACGCTCTGGAAGGGCAGGTACAGGAACATAGGATCTCTGGGACTCCGAGACGACAAAAGATTCTCCACGTAGGATGCGAAAGCGTACTGGTGAAAAGAAGAAGAAGGAGAAGAAGAAAAAGAAGAAAGTTTTAACAAATTTGAAACAGCTTTAGGGGAGGGGGGGGTTAATATAACACACATATGACACTTCAAAGAACGTTATAATCTCATAAAACGAAGAAGGAAGCACTGAGATGAATCGGACGGACTTTACCGTAGAATAAGTTCCATCTACACTCAAGTCCGGTGTCGTGTTATTCCTGAAGTCGTAGCCAAACCTGGTGCCTTTTTTCGCTGAAGTTTAGGATCTTAGCATTAGCATCTACTAGGAATGGCGTTAGTAATTTTCATATGAACAGTAAGCATGGTATGAACCGTTGCTACAGCTGGTAGTGAGAAAGGTATCCGGGAAAAGTATGGATTAAGTTATTAAATATTATATTAGTCTTTATGCTTGACTGTGAGTGTGTGGGTTTTTATTTTTATGTATGTGTGTGTATACATACATATGTATATATATATATATATATATATATATATATATATATATATATATGTATATATATATATATATATATATAATATATGTGTGTGTGTGTGTGTGTGTGTGTGTGTGTGTATGTGTGTGCGTGTATGTGGTTGTCTGTGTGCATAATGAATACGAATTTTTACTTTTATGAGACGGATACTCCACGAAGTTTGGCATTTCTTTCCGGCCCATTTGAAGCCGGAAGTGGTGGAAGTAGTCCTCGGCGCCCGTGTAGTAGCCGTAGAAGGTGTCGAAGCCCCTACTGGTTGGAGTGTAGCTCCAGTTGCAGAATCCTAGATGCCATCTGCCGTGAACGAGGGTGTCAGTCTTCAGTTTCAGGGCATGTATGGAGTCTTAATGCTAGTGAGATATTTATAGAGACGCTAAGAAAAACAAAAATATAGACGAGGACATGGGCTGATAAAGAGAGACATAAACCATAGCCACCAAGAGAAAATAGAACTATAGAAGAGGGACATGGCTGATAAAGATATAGACGCCTAGAAAAAAATAAAACAGACGGAGACATGGCAAAGAGGACCATAAACAATATAGAAGCTAAGTTTTAAACTAAAACTGCAGACGGGGACATGACTGATAGAGAAAGACGGTAAACCACAAATGTCAAGAAAAAACAAATAACTATAGACGGGGACATGGCTGACAAAGAGAGATATAAACCAGCATAGATAACAACAAAGGAAACCCAATCTACTTGTCTACTAGTTTTACATCGTGGGTTTTTTCTACCATAGTATTAACACGGTAGAGTGTTTTCACCATCCAATCTACTTACTTGCCAACGGCGTGAGTGGAATAACCCACTTTCTTCAGGGACTCTGGAATAAGGGTAGCATTCAGGGTGAGGCCCGTGGGTTCCTTCGGCCACAACACACCATGCTGAAGATTAGAAAAAAGGGAAGGATAAAGGTCACTATGATAAAGAGAGGGGATACGTTACTAAGATAAAGAGATCGGATACGTCACTAAAAAAGAAGATCGAATGCGTCACTAAGAAAAAGAAAGGGGATTCGTTACTTAGATGAAGAGAGGGATACGTCACAGAAAAAGAGATGGCATACGACACTTAAATAGAGTGAATACTTCTAAAAAATATGGATATGTCATTAAAAAGAAAGAGGAGATATGTGATTAAAAACGAAAGGATCTCATTTAAAAACGGAGGGAATACGCCATTAAGAAAAAAATAGAAAGGAAATACGTCACAACATAGGGAATATGTCACTAAGAAAAGAGAGGGGATACGTCATCAAAAAATAGAAGAAACGCCATTAAGAAAAAAAAAAGGAAATAGGCGACTAAGAAACAGAAAGG